CCTTGCTGATAAAAGGGCGCTTCCGGGCAACTTTGCTATTCAACCCCTGTGCCACGAGACGGCGACGAGCAGTTCGACCGGAAACTGATAGCTGAAGGGTTTCCTGGATCTCGCGGACAGTTACCTTCGGGTTCTTCTTGACTTCGCGCATCTTGGTGTCCGTTCTCGCATCAGTTTTGCGCGGAACGTTTTTAGTTTCAGAAATTTTTTTCCAGTCGCTGATACTGTACATTCTAGCGACAGCCCGGTGCGATTCACCGTTTTGCCCATCACGAACCACCAATTTTCGGATACACGAGGGAATTGCTTTCGAAATCACTGCGTTCTCCATTTTTTTTTTCAACTGAATCAAATTCGATCACTAATAGCGAATTCGTTTATTATCGGGGTTGGAACCAGTTCCAACCCAGTGCGAAACCGAACTTTTTGTCAGTGCGAACCTCAACCTGAGCTGGGTTTTAAAAACAAACGATCAAACTGACGTTTGTCAGAAAACAAGCAGGCCCAATCTTGATACCCGATCCAGGTTGGAACTGAATAATAAACGAATTCTCGCGTCACTTTTCAAATAGACCAATGTAACAAATGTAAACAAATCGAGTTAAGCGATACTAACTATTGCTCTTCTATCGTTGTATGTGATACAAAAACATCCATCCTAATTTACTTTCATTTATTTAAAATAATCATTGATCAAAAATTGTCCAATGTACAGTTTGAAATAATGGGTACATGATTGTTACTTCGGTCATTCGGACTGCCTAATATGATTGGTGCTCATTTTCCAAAGGCGGGGCCAATCTAAAGTTAGGTACTATACTCTGAAATCTGTGAAAGGGAATCTAATATTATGTAGACAAAACGTCCAATGTAACACTGATTGATTATGTCAGTGAGAAAAATCGTCCAATGTAACATGTCCGATGTACAACTCGACTTGTCAAAACGTCCTATGTGGTTTTTTCTATGTTGTAGCATGAAATTCAAAGTAAAATTGTGATTTTACTGTTTCTTCTGAATTTTCAACGTTATTATAAACTGACTACATTAAAAATAGTATTGCAAAATGTATTGTTTTTAAACAGTTAAAATAATAATCTGTTGAACTTCAACTTCGATTTTCTCAAAATGGTGGATATGTTACATTGGTCTATTTGAAAAGTGACGCGAGAATTCGCTATAAACAAATGCACCAGGTCGAGCCGTTTGCTTCAAAGCATGTCAACATTTCAAAACATAAACAATCGAGGGGTTTTCCGATGGAAACTTTTCGAAAACATCCACGGCGAATGAGAACGACCCAAATTTGCCGGAAAAGGAGGAAATTGACGAAAATTTTATTCAGTCTCGGAGTAGTACCAATATACTGAGTGAATCCAATCTTTACTTTTCTCAAATTCGGGAATTTTTCCCTGGAAAAACCTGGGAAAACATGAGACAAATTTTACTCATTGCTGAGTTCCTGCACTTTTGGCGATTCTGAGGGAACTAAACTAAAATTTGGGTTGCTCTCATTCGCCGTGTCGATTTTTGAAGTGGGTACTTCATTTTTTCACTATTTCTTTTTTCAAATCAAATTGATTTTTTTCTTCTTTCAGTTAAACTTTTTTTGTTTCAGTATTCCAGTAGTAAAACTTTAAAAGAAAATAGAAAATAAGATATCAAAAAAGACTAGAGTGTGTTTACTTAAATTTGAACCAAATATATGAGAGAAATTCAAAAAAATTATGAGGTGGGCACTTTATTTTGCCTATCAGTGTATGCGTTGCTTCCGATTCTGTGACACTACCCCGAATGTCACTACACCGAACGCCATAACCCCGAATGCCACTACCCCGAAAGTCCTACTACCCCGAATGACCATTACCGCGAATGCCCTACTACCCCGAATGGCCATTACCCCGAAATTAAGACAAATGAAAGAACAGAAAGGGGTCAAAAAAAGGGTACATTTTTAGAAGGAAATTTCGTTTTGGAATTTATACTGAATACAAATGATAATTTTTTATTGGAATTTTGAAGCTTGCAAGCGAGCAAGCTTGTTTTACGCGAGAAGCCCGAGAGATGTCGTTACTGAGGTCCTATGTTTTGAGATACTATGTTTTCAAGAAAAACTTTTTCAAAGTGTTATGTCTGTTGTCTGTGATTAAACTCTCTGATTAGTTTCACTTTACTAAATTGATGATACACTACGTTTACTTTTATGGAACTATGTATTTATCAATTCCAAACCATTTTAAAGCTCTTTAGAAAATGACAACCTTCAAGTTTTCGAGCACTTCGTTCACCATTTAAAAAGTCAAAGGGTCTAATATGCAATCCAATTCAATATGCAATACCAGTCGGAAACTGTTAAACCTTATCAAAGAATTGTTCGATCTGAATCTAGACCTGAGTTGAAGAATTTCTCGTTATGGATTGAAAAATCGGTGCATGGAACGTTGAACTATCGATTACAAATTTATAACATTATTCCACACGTTATTATCCCAAATGGTCATTACCCCGAATCCCTTGCCAAAAGCTATTGATTACATATTTTCCTTATATATTAAAAGAAGGGAATATTCCCTTCCCTTCTTTATCATACATCCAAAGAATAAATTATTTGCTTTTTATATATTCAAAGAAAGGAATATTCCCTTCTTTATCGTTCATCCAATAATTAATTATTTCCTTTTGTTATATTTTCAAAGAAGGGAATATTCCCATCTTTATCGTATATTTAACGAATTGATTATTTTCTCTTTTATATATTAAAAGAAGGGAATATTCCCTTCTTTATCGTATATCCAAAGAATTAATTATTTCCTATTGTTATATTTTCAAAGATGGGCCATTAAGGGGCTGTTCATTAACTACGTAGACAGTTTTTTTGGGATTCTTGACCCCCTCCCCCCCTTCCCATGCGTAGACAATTTTCCATACAAAATTTTTAAAATTTGTATGGACCGTGCACAATTGCCAATTCGGGGTAGTGTCACAGAATCGTTTCTTCCACCTTCACTCGAGCGCAGCGCTACTGTGTCTGTCGCTTTAATTCAGGCAAAGTTGCCAACCACCGAATGCACGGCTTAAAAACTCCAATATAGTCTGTTCGGCACGGATGGCAGAGAAGTTTAAACAAGTTGTCCCGAGTTTGTTTGATCACGCGAAGGTTCACCCACCGACAACAAACCGGCATGAATGACCATTGCAAAAAACAATAAAATTTCTGACCAAAGCACACTACTAACATCTGGCTTCGTGTTCGCGGAAAATATTTAGCTAAGCCATGAACTTCGTGTCTGATCTATTCTGGACAAATTATTTTTATCTAGATCAAACTATCCTATGGTTTTCGGCTGTTTTCGATTTTCGGACACAAATCAGAATTAAGTGTTTGTCGGTGGTTCACCTACCACGCTAAACGATTTGGGAGGTGCGCCGTTGCCCTGCCGGGTTTGCTGGAGTGAGTGCCTTTTCTCGATTTTATCAAAACGTGTTCAAGACGCTAAGACAGTTATTCTACTAAATCAAGAAACTGTTACAATAGCGTGGTTCAGAATTTGATAGACCGAAAAGGAGTGCCTTTAGCATCCGTTTTTTTTTTGACTTTGATTTTAGATTCGTGTAGCCGTGACCGAGGCTGGAAACCTCGGTCCGGTCACGACAGACTGAAATTCTCACTAAATTAGAAATTCTATTCTCAACAGTTATCTAAATTTAAACCTGATGAAGGTAGTGCCTGGAAGGAATTCGGAACTCGACAGATCGACAGACGTCTGAAGACTAACGAAAACATTCGATGTATTAACTAGAAAATTTGACTTATATAGATATAGGGGTTTTAGCCTAGAAGGATTTGTCTCCTGCTAAGATCGTCCTACACAGCAAAAAAAAATGTAATATCGATCAACGTAATTCAAGCTGATGCATGAAATAATCATGTAATAGCAAAACGCAGATACAATATTACATCAATGGATGTAATTTTGTTCGCAAAATCGATGTACATCGTACAATGTGATTTTACACAACCGATGGATTGACCTGGTTGCAGCAGTTTCGATGTAATATTCAACAACTTTTTTTGCTGTGTAGCGTAACGGTTGATAAGAACGAAAGAGACAGAAAGTACTCCTATAGGAGATTATAATCTATATTTATCCATCGTTCTCCTTCAAGATTATGTGATGGATTTTGGGACCAACGCAATCATTCCAGAATAATAAATTAAAAATTTGGTTCGAACGTAAACGGAAATATGGGTAATATTCAAACATCCGTTTCCTTCTGTTTCGGTGAGTTGGAGGAATATTGTTAAAAAATATTATTAATTTTGTACATCATGTAGAATGGTAACAACTGTCGTTCAGTGAGGTATACGAAATAACCGTATAGAAAAGTGTATCCATGCTGAATGTAAACAATGCAACATAATGTTTTATGGATGTCGGATAGCGAACATTATTATTGTTCTTCTATAAATCTAAACTAAAATGCTGGAAAATTGTTATTCATTCAAATTATTAGTGTTCAATTCAATGTGTTCATTTAATCCCTAAGAAGTGTTTGGTGCAACCGCGGAATCAAGTCTGTTAGCTGTTCAAGCCAAAAATGGTCGAATGTGAAATCTGTCTTGAGGACTACCGGGAGGGTGACTTGGAGCTGCATCGGCAGATGTGCGTGGTTCGGTTGATGTTCCGATGCTCCCTATGCGACGGGGACTATGTGAGCAAGGAAGGGCTGTGGAATCATCTGGACCTGCATGAGGTAAGAAGAAATCAATCATGTAATCTTATGATCGATATGGTGTCCTTGTCAAAAGATTGCAGAAGAAAGCAAGGAATTGCACTATCAAGAAATAAAAGCAAAACACAAACTGCATCAATGCGTTCTGTGCAATGACCAACGTGCTCATTCGGAGAGTCCTTATTGGAAGCACGTTCATGTAAGTCATCGATTTCAATACAAATGAGTTAATATATAGTATGTAAAATAATTGGATCGCATTTCAGGACGTTCACGATGGCTTCTTTCTGCGGTGTACTGATTGTGGAGAAAACTTTCGATCCGAAAAGCTTAAGAATGATCATACTTTTCGTCATTGTAGTAAGGCTAGGGATAAAAGGGTAGCTGCGGGCTGTAATGCCCTGGAAGAGAAACCAGTTACTATTGAAGTTCAAAATATGACTTCTGATACTGTACAGTTGAAACTATCGCGGGGAGAGCAGAGCAGTAATACAAATGAAGAACTTATCGATCCATTGAGGGAGCTGTTGAGTCGCAAGAGTTCTAGTGGACTTAGCCTGAAAGGCAGGAGTGACTCAAAAAAGGCGACAGATAATCTTTCGATTGAAGCATCCTGTTCCAAATGTTCCCACTGTGGAAAAGAAGAGTCCAGTTTCGTTACTCTAGCTCGTCACATTCTAATCCACCATGAACCAGCCGCATGTGATCTCTGTGGAATTACTTTTCCCAATCTTTACCAGGCTCAGCACCATAAGGTTTGTAAATTAATGCCTTGTTCAGACTACAGAGTTGTAATAACAGCTGTAACATGTTACAAGGGCTGTATAACAAGAAAATGGTCATCAAGCTAGCCATGTAACATGTTATAACTCCGTATGTCTGAACATTGCATAAGTTTTAAATGTTCTTAAATTTCTTTATACTCTAATGTAATGTCTTTATCGTTCAATACAGAAAATGAAGCACAAGAAATGGAAGCTCAAATGTTCACATTGTTCGATGTATACGTCCGGAAGAGTGCGCTTGCAAAGACATTTATCCAAATGTGAAAAAAATATAGTTCCCTGTGAGTTTTGTGGTAAAATGTATGAAAATGTAGAAAATGTCAAAAGGCATCAGAGAAACGGTTGCCGTGCATATGAAAGGAGCAAGGAGCAAAACCCAAAGAATGCCGAGACAGCGCTTCTTGTTGAAAGCGGTTTATGCAAAAAAATATGTTACTACTGTAACGAAGAGTTTTCCAGTCCAGGGCATTTGATTCATCACTTACAAATTTGCCATGAGCTGACCAAATGTGATATCTGTGGAATAACTATTCTTGGTGTATCAGCTATCAAAAATCACAAGGTTTGTTGCACTCGTTTTGCTCAATTGCTATCAGGCATAATTGCACGTCCAAATAGTTTCTTAGAATCAGTAGTCATCTAAATTCTCTTCTATAGAACTTAACTAAAATTTTCATATCTAAATCGACCTAGTTTGTACCTCAATGGAAACTTTTACACCGATAAAGAGGATGTAGTTGATATTGCATACAGAAAATATAATATCTTCCAGCAATTTCTTTTGCAAACGAAGCCTGATTAAAACTTCATCTCTTACATATTGTTATACAGTCTTCATTGTTTAATGCAGATAAAATTCCACACAGAACCGAAATACGAGTGTCCAACTTGTGGGACTAAATTTCATCGTAAAAAGGATTATGATGTACATTGTTTGATGTGTGAGCGTAGGATGTATTCATGTAAATTATGTGGACGTACGTACACACATTTTTACACAGCCATGCGGCATAACAAGCACTTTCATCCAGATGAAAGCAGCTTGGAAAATCTACAGATCGTCGAAGCTCAAAAACAAGTCCAGAACAACGATCGGCAAATGGAAGTCACCGCAGAGGAAACTACGAAAACAGCAGAACCGGAATTGCATCAGTGCATTCTGTGCAATGACCAACATGTTTATTCAGAGTGTTCCTACTGGAAGCACGTCCATGTAAGTGATGGATTTCAAATAAAAAAAAATGCATAATTTAAAGTATTTAAAATAATTGGATCGCATTTCAGGATGTACACGATGGCTTCTTTCTGCGGTGTTCTGATTGTGGGGAAAACTTCCGATCCGAAAAGCTTAAGATTGATCATACCTTTAGTAATTGCAATGCCAGGAATCAAACGGTACCTGCGGACTTTAATGCCCTGGAAGATGAACAGGTTCCTGTTGAAGTTGATAAGGAAGCCGAGTTGCCTACTATTAATTTGGATAAAAGCAAGGATTTGATATCACGATCTGTTTGTGATATTTGCGGGAAAACATTTTCTGTTAAAGGTTTTCTTCTTCGTCATAAGGTATGTATGTTGACATTCTTTCTGCTTGTAGGCTTTTTACCGATCATTTTTCCGGTTCTCAACTTAGTGTTCTAGATTCACTTCCTCAATTATTATTATTGGCAGTACTGTACATTGACCTATTGTAAAGTCCAAAATCATAAGGTTTTTCTTAATCAGCTTAATATTACTTGAAATTAGGAGTCGGTTATTTGAACGCTTTTACATAGATTGTTTTCTTTTAAATTAAATAAAAATTGGACTGTCAGCTTTAAAACTAATGTCATACTTTGTTGTAGCATTGTCCTTATATATAATACTATTTTTTATATTTCATTTCAGAGGATGAAACACACAAAACCAAAGTACGAGTGTGCTAATTGTTCGAAGAAATTTCACTGCATAAAACTTTGTACGAGTCATTCAAAGGTTTGTGATCCAGTTCAGAGTGACTTCTCGAGTAGCAAAAGTTCCGGCGAAATTATTCTGAAAGACGGGAGTGACGCAAAAGTGGCGACAGAGAACTGTGGAATTGAAGAGCCCAGTGCTGTCACCCTGGTTCGTACAACTCTAAACCACCAGAAGTCAGGCACATGTGATATCTGTGGAATTACTTTACCCAGTCGGTCTCAGGCTCAGCACCATAAGGTTTGTAAACTAAGTTTTGCATGTTCTTGAATTTCTCTACACTCGGTGATACCGACCCTGCACGGGTATTTAAATTCATCGCTCACTGTTACACTACACCTTAAAAAAGTATTCACTTAGTATATATTGGGAACGCACAAAATATTTTCCCAATAAAAGAATAGTGATTTTTACCTTAGTATCACGTATCACATCAATTACGAGAACGTATGCAAGTTATGTAAAATTCACATGGATACAACACTAGACGTTCGCTATAACTGCAACATGCTTACGTTGCACATAGCAAGCGACATTCGCTAACTGAAATGCATTTTATGCGTCAAAACAGCTAGAATTTTGTCTAGAAATTTATTGTGGTGTTTATTTTATGCCTATTTCAGCTAACCTGTCCAAGGCAGGCCAAACAGCGCGATGATTCTCAGTTCGGTGCAAAGGAAATTCCTCTGCCCAATGATGCGATTCCAGGTGATTCCACGATTGTACCGCTACTCAAACTGGAAATTAAAGTAGAGCATACAATGCTGCAGGAACAGGAATACCAAGTTCCAAATGATGATTCAGGGAGATCATTCGCTAAAACATTGGTAAGTGCTCGCCAGCTTTGCCAAGATTGTAAGTAAGTAATGTCGTGAAAGTTAACCGTCCACTTCATTTCAATTTCGCATGATGGTAAATCGAAGGACGTCGAGCATCTTGAGAATGGAATCAAAGTCAAAGAGGAATACATAGAAGAAAAAGAGGAAATCCTAACTGAACATCAGAGCCCAACGAAAGCTGTGGAATGTCATGAAGTTCCTAGCGACCCAAACGAGTCCCTTGTGCGTCATGAAGTCATGGATGTCGTCCATTCAAAGGTAGTCAAGAGAAAACCTCATTCAAAACGTAAAAAGCTATCTTCGGATTGCGCCGATCCTCGAAGATCAAAAAGGGTGAATGCCGGAAAATGAATTGGTTGGAAAACACAATCGCCATCGCCAATGTTTTCCAAATGCATTTCATGCTAAATGCTTATCTAATTGCATAAATGCTCATCCTCGGGTTAATCAGGTTATCTTGCCATTTTAAAATGTACAAAATTTGACGAATAAGTATGTTAACAACGACCTTGGAAACAACAGTTCGGCTCAATGCAGGATGAAAGTTAGGTAAGGTAAAGTTTACATTTAAAAAAACTTTTTATATTTTTCCTAATAATATTGCAATATTCGTATATAACCTTACATAAAAACCTCCTTATGATTAGTTACTTAGTCCACTTAAATATTTAAAAAAATAAAAGACGGTAAGGTCCGCACCAAAAACTATTATTTAAACATTTATTAACCCCTCGGTGACTGCTCACATCCCTTCATCAGACCAGAGACGAGAGACGCGCGGAGAGATTAAAAGTAAATCTTATTGCACGGCCAACTAAGTTATTTTGTCTGCAAGGTTTGGCAATTTTAGCCACTGTCATCTGCTTTATCATTAAAATACTTTTTTGACCATATCGGTAGGGATTATTTGAAAAATGCCATTTAAATGCACGACATCCTTCTGTAAAAATACACCGAATAAAACGTTACAAAATGTCAGTTTCTTCCGGTTTCCCAAAGACAGCGTCGTCAGCGAAAAGTGTCTTAATAAAAATAACCACAAAAAAGAGCTTAACGACATGTTCGTGTGAGATTGTTCTAACATCCGGGTCAGCGTTCGTTTATGGTATTTGTTTATGATGGTGGGTTCAATTCTGTCGGCTTCCTCTCGATCAAAGCGTGACGGTAAACTCTTGATTATATAGCCTAAGTAATCTGCCATATTGATAGTGGAATTGTCGTTTTTAAGAAAGTCGATATTAAATTGATTTATTATACATCAGCTACATTTCAATTACGATTTACATTTATATGTGGATCGGATAGCGGGTGCAGTTCCCATTTTTGAAGTTGTTGTGGATTTGAATGAGGCAATAGAGAATGAAATTTATGATGATTTTTAAAGATTAAGCCTGTCCTGAGGGGAGCGACTCTATCTACGATGCAGGGAAAATTGTGTTTTGCTGTGGTTTACTTCTTTGTTTGCTTCAAAGTAAGGGAGAAAAGGGAATTTTTTGTCAGCTCCTTTTTCCAGTAAAATTGTCCCCAATCATTGACGAGACTCTCTTTACGCTTATGCCTTCTTGGAGATGAACCTTTAAGCTGGGTTTAGACTAGGCAAGTCAAATGATCAACTCAGTTGAATTCAATTGGCTTGAAAAGTTGAGCCTGGTTCAACTTTTTTCAATTCAAGTGAGATGATCAAGTCAGTTGAATGGCATGGTTTACACGTTCAATTCGCGTTCAAGTCAGTTGAATTCAACTGACTTGATCAATTGACTTGCCCTGTCTAAACCCAGCTTTACAAAAAGTCCACATGGCTTTTGAGAGATGTCCATAGTTTCAGGGAAGTCCAAACGAATTGGGCAGAGTCACCACGCCCCGCAAAATAGGCCAGAATACGTATTAACTTGATGGCCATAGGATCCGGACAGAGAGTCAATTGTATGGGTAAGAAGCATTGCAGGGCTAATATACGGTGTCAACAAATGTATCTGCAATCGCAGCTGTTTCTCCCGCAGAACCACTCGGTACGATTGATGGCTCTCTAATCAGTCAGCCGTACAGCTCATTCTATGGAATGAACTCGGATTCAATTGAATGTGGAGGCTGGTTGAGTCACGCTCTTTCGCAACTGTTCGTATCACTGACGGCAATAGCAATATTAAGGAAGATGCTGCTAACATAATTGTAACGACGCCGGTGGTGTAGTGGTAAGCGTGATTACCTCTCACCCCAGCAGGCCTGGGTTCAATCCCAGTCGGCGCCGCCGGGATGTTCTGAGGCATAACATCTCTGATCACGCCTTCCTTCGGATGGGAAGTAAAGCCGTTGGTCCCCGGTTCATGAGTTGATGGGTCGATAGGTAGGGTCCAGGTGTGGAAGCTGCCTTTCTGGTACGTCGGTAGCATTGGTGCTCAGCACGGAAAACAAGATCGACGGAAAAAACAAACCAAAGGAAAAAAAAAAAAAAACATAATTGTGACGGTAACCACGAGATCCTGGACCGACATTTGGGTAATGTTGAAATTTATTCCATGGAAGATGTGGATAAACGGATTAAAAGATAGAATTTAAGAATAATGAGAAAGAAGTTCTTTCCTTTATTTTAACGTCGGTCTCTGTTCCGTAATCTAGTGGTAATCACCGACGGACATCGATTGCCATCCATTGACGGCAATCGAATGTGCAGGAAGGCAGCTTCCACACTTGCGTAGGATATCGCTCCCATTCAACACACATGGGCCGGGACCAACGGCTTTACTTCCCTTCCGAAGGAAGACGTGACCAGAGATTTTTATGCCTCAGAAAAATCCCATCACGCTTACCACTACACCACCGGCGCCGGCACGAGAAAGAAGTTGGACCCAGTGGTTTCCTGGTACGCCATAAAAAAGGAGAGGCCAGTTAGACGGATTTAGAACCTAACCACGACTGCTGATACTGGAAAGCTACTGCAGGTCTAGCATTGCCCGAGTAGCATGATGATAATGCAGACATGATGCATCTTCCACTTGCCGGTTAGGTACTTGGTTTCGGGAAACGTCTGCCAGCATGACGCACGGTACAGAACTGTCTTCTATGATGATGATGATTCTCCTGGATGGACAGCTTTTACTATCAGTGACCCTTCTCCTTCTCGCGAAGGGGTTAAACATCGAGTGTCACTTCTTTGAAGCGGATGACCGGTCAAAAAGTGCAGCACGCTCAAGGGGTTAGTCACTCAGCACATTGTCCCGAAATTAGATTCGGCACAGCTTGGGCACATCCATCGGCACAATCTCGTGGGCATTGGATTGTTGTAAATAAAATGGGAGCACTGATGGACAACTGTCATTGAAGTTGTTCACAACATTACGTGCTGCTTGACTGACTGAGGAACTCAGACCAGCAGTTCACTTATAGATCTAAATACGAAAAATCTAGACTGGGCTAATGAGAAAGAGGCAGTTAATTAGACCCTATTAATACCCTTAATTCAAATAATGCTGCAACTCACACAAAATAAACTACAGAAGTATATTTATCATCCGCTATAGTCGGTCGCCAACATTGTTCCCCACCGGTTATATCTATTTCCGGCCGCTAATAGACCGTTGCTTTTCACATCACGAAAAGCTAGGTTTCTGGTCTGCATTTAAGGATATAATAAAACCTGTTACGTTTTAGGTTGGTTCGTATTATTGCTCCTATGGTCAGCACTAAACTGGTGTCGGAAACACAATAAAATGAGTAGATCCGATCGAACGTGCAGCAGCCAGGCATGGAAAATCATTTGCATTAATTTCGTGCATTCATTGAAATGCATGTAGCCTCTAACTTTTTTTTTCAACAGCATTCCGCAAAATGATTTTCAGAGCTTTTGTAGGTTTTGTTATTAGCTACAACTTTTGAAAACAAGTCAAATCCGTACCTCTTATGCATGACGAAGCAGAGCGAACAGCCACTAAGGTTTTTCAGTGAATGTATTTTACATTCACTGAAAAACAGTAACAAGTTCTGCCCGTTCTAGTTCGTGATGCATAATAGATACAGATTTGAGTAATGAGCAAAACTTGTAGCTAATAACAAAACCTACAAAAGCTCAATACATCATTTTGCGGAACTGTTGATGGGAAAAGTTAGAGGCAAATGAATGTAAATGAATGTATAAAATAAATGCAAATGATTTTCCATGCCTGGCAGCAGCGAAACTATGCCACATGGGACGCATCGCTTGAAAACGAACGAGGATCGCAAATTATTTCGCAAACACCATTCTTCAGGAATTTTGCTGACTACGTTTCCGCACGCACACACACTCTCATCAACCCGCATTGGACTCGACAAAAGGCAGAAGTGGAAAGGTTGCCGTGCAAACAGCACGCAAAAAAGAAAAACTGTCAGTCCTTTTTTGGCCGTCGCGAGTGCGAGTAGAGTGCGTAGCGCAATTTATCGTCGCGTGGGCTGCTGTTTCGGTAGTGGTTAAAGCTTCGATCGGAATCCCACGGTTTCTGGGAAGTCCAGCAGCGGTTAAGAGAACCGGAACGAAAACAGCCCTCTCGGAGACTGCGATGAGCTGAAGATTTCGTCACACCAACCACACGTACTGGCACACAAGAAGCGTCAAGACGCACGAAAAAAGAAATCGACGCCAAAACGTGCCCTCGAACGTACCATCAGCGCAACAACCAGCTAACGCTAACGGACAGTGCCTGACGGCGGTGAATAGCTGCGTTCGAAACCCGAAGCCTTCAAATGAAGGCTTTTTCTGTTATAGGCTTTCAGCTGCTCATCGGATAGAGTCATCTTATCATCGTGCGACGGTGCTTGCATCGAAGTCCGCAACGCACGTGGAACCCTCAGGCGAGGTGGAGCCCTGTTGGAGGTTTGTGCCATCGAGGTGACGGGGCTTGCCACCAGCAGCCAGGCTCGACCAACGGTAAGGGTGCACCCGGCCGGTAAAGTTAGTACTCACCAGAAGAAGACATTATAGTTAGAAAGAAAAGATGGATCAATTAGGGAGAGGATGCAGGGAAGACAGAATTGGTAGGAGTGAGTTGAAGGATCATGCGGCGTCATGAGGAGAAAAGTGTCAGACCTATGGGGGAGCAATAAATGCACGTGAAACATTAGTCTGACCATCTTGATTTCGTTGGTGCACAGTCCCTCCATGGATCGGTTGTTTGCCCTACCAAGACATGAGAATTGCAACAAACCCTAAAACACAGGACTTTTATTATCCTATGAACACAAAAAAAAAACAAATTTCGCACACCCGCGTCATCCTCAATCCGATTGATCTTTGCTATAGTCTGGCGGATAGAATCTCGGGAACCAATTGAGCTGTCAACTAGCGGAACCCATAGAACAAATCACGACCAACAACAGAAAAGAGCACATCAGCTATTGTGAACAAAACTTCTGAAAGCCTTTTCTCGTGACTCAAGGCTTGTCTACGCAAGCTAACAACATCTTTGGGTTTCCCCTATCCGATGATGCTGATAGCAAATGTTCGATCGGTGAGAAAAGAACAATCAACGGTTTATGAAAGTTGGTAGTACCTTTTCAATTGTTGGTCTACAATATATTGAAT